GCGATGCCACTCACTGGTCCTTACTGTGCAGTGTGGGAATTTTCTAGGCAGCTGAACTTCCAGTGAACTGGAACAGTTTTGGCACTGGGACAGCCCAGAATATGTCTGACTCCCTGGGCAGTTCACTACCTACTGAGCTAGTTTCAGACACCCCTCCCCCCCCCGCTGACTTCCCCCCCCCCCCCCCAAGTCTCTCTCATCATAATGCTAATTAAAGAATAACTATTTGTCTCGGCTGTAAACGGAGAACAGGTCCGTCTCTCTGTGTGACTCACTGATGTGTTTTTAAAAGCAGCAGCGGAGGACTCAGACATATCTGCGACACACACACTGCTCTTGTTAGCGGGAGACATCGAGTCCTTTTCACGGGATCATGGGAACGTCAACAGACTTATATTTAAACGGTATTTTCAGTTGGTTTTTCCTGAAGGTTTTTTCTTGCAAACAATATATTTATACATTTATACGCACCAGACAGAGAAAAACATGCGCAAGGTCCAAACTGGAAGCAACGATCGGACAACGGTACATCAGCACTGTGTTTCTACTGTTCGAACATCAGGACAAGATCAAAATAAACCTGTTAAATCTCAAACTTAATGCAGAACACCGAGAGCAGTAAAACAAGAGCCTGTTGGTCCGACCCGGCAGAGTCCGGACCAGGTCTGGTTGGGGTCCCCGGCAGCTTTAACATCACGTCATCGAACTGAAGTCGATGCTCAGCGAGGTCAGAGATAAAAACCTGTCATCTGCTCACACAGATACGACCCCTGGAAACAGGAAACCAGACTCTGTTTACTTTCCCTCTGTTCATTTAATACAGACAACCTGCGGAGGGAGGGGAGGGAGTGTGGTGTGTGTGGTGTGTGTTGTGTGGTGGTGTGTGGTGTGTGTGGTGTGGTTTTGTTGGGGGGGGGGGTGGGGGGGTTGGTTACGGGTTCAATGCCCCCGTCACTCATCATCTAACTCCACTCTCCCCCCAAAAAAACATTCCTCAGTGTCTTATCTCCTGGTATCGTAAACACAGGGAGAACCCCCCCCCCCGGTGTGTGTGTGTGTGGGATTCAGGGGTCAGAGGTCAGTTTGTTTTGAAGCAGGTATGCCTCCTGGATGACATCACCACTGGGGGGGGGGGGGGGGGGTTGGTCCCCCAGAAAGAGCTGATTAAAAACAGATCGCCTGCGATGAGCGGCCTGATGGTACCAATATTTTCAAAATAAAAGCGGGTGGTGCGAGAAAAGTCAAAAAGCTAACAAGCCTGATTTGAGAGCATCGCTGTGTGTGTGTGTGTGTGTTTGCCTCCAACCTCAAGAGCCTGCAACACACACTCCTCCTCCTCCTCCTCCTCCTGGTCTTTTACTGCACCCACCTAACCCACAGCCTTGTCCTCCAGCTGTGTCCCCTCCACCTCCAAAACATCTGGACTGAAAATCATCACATCTGAGAAGCTGAAACCATCAGACTTTTGGTATTTTTTGCTTTAAAAAAAACAAATGACAGCAGCTTGTTTATGAAGCAGAATTCAGACTAACAAAAACCTCCAGGATGAGTCTGAACTCCTTCACAGCCAAACACTTGAACGCATCACGCTGCCTGTCAGAGCGGATGATGGATGTAGAACAGTTTAGCCGAGATGCCGCCGTGGTGCCAGTGTTTCTGGAGCCGGTGATGTCAGCTGCTCCGAGACCGAGCGGACTGAATCATGGCGTGGCGCCGCCTCCTCCGGCTGTTACGTGCTTCAGAAAACATCACGCTCAGCGTGACTCAGAGGTTTACACTGATCTGAACACCTGCAGACTCACCGAGACGAGCGGCAACAACCCACTGAGACAAACACATGCAGCAGCTTCCTGAGTCACCGCCGACAGCAGGAGGACGGATTTCTGTTTCAGCTCAGACTCAAACACTCGTCAAGTGTATGAAAGTTATTAATTATTCTAGAGTTTCATTCATTTAAGCAGGTTGAGTTGCTGCATCTTGGAATAATGAAATTATATTTTGTTGTGCACAAGTATAATGACAATACAAGTGAAGTGACATTTTGACAGAAGTTTGGCAAGAGTAGAAGCGATTTTTCACAGAGAAGTCGACAAAACACAATTGCGAACGTTCAGTGTTTCCAATGAGCGAAGTGATGTGAATAAATCTGGGTTTTCTCCTCTCGCGATATCGTTCCAATTAAACTAGACGACAGATTTCCAGCGTCTGCTAATTGTTGGGACGATTGGATCCACCGCAATCGAAGGCACGTAACGACGGAAAGGCAAAACCCCCGACATCAGGCAGCCGCCACGGATCAGGGATTTATTTGGGGGGGGGGGGTTAATAGTCTGCAACGAATTTGGAATAAAAAAAAACATTGACATGTGACTTAAACGCAGAAAAAGTTTTTCCATTTCACTTTTGCAAATTGCTTTATCAAATCATCTGAAAAAAATCATCTCATGTGAGCGTATATTTTTTAATTTGTGTGTTTCGATCACACAATTTCTAACTGGGA